TTAATAATAATAAATTATACAGCAGAAATAAGGATACAAAATGATATCTTGACAAAGTAAATATCTGTAGGTATACCTAAACTCTTTTATTTAAGCATGCCTATACACATAAACAAATATAAACATTTGTACAAAATATAAAATAAATGAAGTCAATTTCACTTGATTCATCCATATTTCAAATAGTTCTCACTGACTAAGTAGTTGCTCATCAAATTATATCGAAACGTATAGTCCATATTCCATTTTCTTAGTTCTTGTCCCTTGTCCTCGTCTATAATAGGTAGTGGGTATAACTTTGTTTAGGTAGATGTGTCGCAAAATTGGAAATCTCTTTACACATATCGTTTTAAACATATTGCATTAATATTCATTATTTTATTTGCACCTTACAATAACCACAACTGCACACACTACAAATTATCAAAGTAAAGATGGAGAACAACGAATCAAGGCAAACTGGCAAACCGCAAACCTAACCTAACATAATACGAATTACGAATTGAAAACGACACACGGGATCACGGGAAACAAATAAACTCGGGCTATTACGCGCAGTCTACGGAAGTCACGAACATACATTTTTTCTAGACTTGTTCTTGTTATAAATATGCCAGCACAATTTTTTTTCTGTCTATGTCTGTTTGTATAACAAAGGCAAATGAACTAACGCTTGAGAGGGATTGGGGATTGGGAGCAAAATTTAACTAATGTCCAATGTTCCATAAGATAAGCAAAAAAAGCAAACGGTTGTTCGTCTGTTATGTTTTCGAGATCGAAAGGGAATGTTTCGAGTAATGTTTCAAACTCTCTTCAATTGGAACGTTTCGGCTATGTTTCACTAAAGAAGTTTTCAAGTGCTACATTTCTGTAATGAAACAGAAACGTTTCTAGTTAATGTTTCAAATGTTTAGCAAAACATCTCATTTGCAACGATTCATTTACGTTTCGTGTTTAGTGGGTAGTTACGGACGTCATTTTTTTTGCTCTGCAAAGTTCACTATCATGTACTAAGTAGTATCTTAATAACGTAAATGTAAATTGATAAGGTTTTATTTACATTATATTTTTAATTGGGTGTTGATTTAGCAACATATTTCAGATTAATTTGTTATTTTCATTAAAAGCCTTTACTTAGATATCGGCGGATGATTTATTAGTTTATTCTATATCTGTTTCTACTTTCAAATAATTATCACTTTAATGTCATAAGTAATTTTAGAATTATTTTTTATCTATCCATTAAAAAAATTCAATGAACACTTTAGAGAATATAGTTTTATAGGAATTCACTGACTTTTTAGAGATAGATTATAATAATTTTAAATTATATTATATCCCTAAAATTTTTGTATAAAAATGGAGATCAAACAATCCAATAATTAACTGACAATATCCTAATATCTAGAGAAGGTTACCATGTTAATTATACGTATATTTATTATACCGGGTGTCCAAAAAGTCTGGAAACACCTGAATAACTTCCCAGGTAAATTATTTTTGAAAAATGTTAAGGTCATTCTTGTAGTAACTTTTGACGAGGAATTCAATGATGACCTTGGATTTGACCTTGACGATGATCTTGAATGTTATTTCAAGGTCACCTCCATTTTTTATGAAAACCCCCTTTTTCGACGTCGACAATCGAAAGAGCGGGAAATTTTACGTTCAAAAATTCTAAAAGTCATAAATCAGGGTTGACCTTGAAGGTCAAAAGTTATTTAAATTTGAGGGCTGGATATCTCCGAAGGACGCAGTTGATGAAAATAGTACAAAGCTCACTTTAGTTATTTTGTTTAATTGCAATTAGTGGTGACCTCAAACTCGACCATCTTGGTGTCCTTCAAAGTCATTTCAAGGCCATTTTTTTTTCACGATATAATGAAGCACCCCAAAAAATAAATATTGACATGTGTTCGTAACTTGTAAATTCGTGATCGTAAATATTGTAATACTCTATTAACAATCCCAATTAAAATGTAGAAACAAAAAGATCCCTTTGTAGTAGCTATTTTTTTGGTGTTCTTTATATGAAAACAGTTTTTTTTACAAAAATTTTGTTTGCATTAACCTCATACTTTTAAAATTAAGTAGAAAATGCACCAACTTATTAAAATTTACTTATTGTCTTTACATCTGTGTATTTATAATTTACCCGTAGGTATGCTAATAAATTTGCAGTTTGTAGAAGACAATAGTAAAAACAAAAACAAATAATTTTTGCAAAAAGTATTTATAAGCAATTTAAGTTTACCGCCCTATTTAGTTTTTATGTCAACAAGAGATGGCGGACCGTGATCTGTCTATTGGGTGTCCTAGGGTTAGTGATCTTAACCTATAACTTTAATTATTTATTAATTTGACTTTTCTTCCTATTTATTTATTTTTAGTTGTTGTACCTAACATTGATGTTTGATATGCATTTAAATTACTTCTAATAAGTATAACAATAACAATAAATGAGTCCTTACTTATATGGAGCTGCAGGTTTTGGTGCTTTAATTGAAGTAATTATTCTTCTAATTATGGACGTCATTTCGTTTTTATATAAACACACTACTGTTTTTGTATTATATGTTCTGCAGACAAAGTTCACTACGCGCAAAACGTATACCTTACTAAGTTCTGTCTTAAATAATGTAAATTTATATTATTTTCACATTATATTTTTTAATCGGACGAATATCTATATTTTCGTTATGATTAATTTACCAACATGACAATTTCAGATTTAATTTGTTATTTCTATAAAGAAGCAAATATACTTAGTTATCGGCAGATGATTATTAATTTTTTGTCTCCATTCCTCCTTTAAAATTATCATTTTAATGTCATATTAAGTGATTTTGGAATTATTTTTATCTACCTCCACTAAAAAATTCAACGAACACTTACTTTCGAGACTATATTTTCCATATTTATTGATTTTTTAGAGATTCTTTATAATAATTTTAAATTACATTATATCCTGTTAACGAAATAAGTAGGTACTCAAAAACATGAGTAGAGTTTTTGTCAGTGGCGGCCCCTAAGGGAGATACAGCCCCTTGAAAGGGTAACTCAGGAAACAGTTTTTATTGCATAATTTCGAAACGGTTTAATATCGAATCACGAAATTTTGGGGTTGTATTACTATTTATATGCTTAATAATCGGCATAATATACAAATCAAAATTTAGTTTCTATATATAGGTATTGTATTTTTGTGTTGGTTTGTGTTTGTTTCGCATCGTATTAGCTTCCTTATACAAATTTAGTTTCGTGCAACTCTCTCGTTTTCAAAAATACAATACTTATGTATGTTTTCAGATACGAAATTTGAATAATTCCAAATATTTCGAATTTTCACAACTAAGAACGGCGGTGACAACATTTTTAACATTAAGGCGCTGTTTCGCATCGTATTAGCTATGTCGTGTACAAATTTAGTTTCGTGTAACTCTCTCGATTTCAAAAATACAATACCTATGTATGTTTTCAGCCACGAAATTTGAATAATTCCAAATATTTCAAATTTTCACAACTAAGAAAGGCGGTGACAACATTTTTAACATTAAGGCGATGTTTCGCATCTTATTAGCTATGTCCTGTACAAATTTAGTGCAACTCTCTCGGTTTCAAAAATGCATAGCCGCACTACCCTACCCAACCATACCACACATAAACATGACACTACCCCCGGGGTTTACACAGACGAGCCGGCGAAGCAAGAAGAGCGCTAGTAGAAAGGGCCCTAGCCGGGGGGCCCAGCCAGGACAAAAGGAGGTCCCACAAATCGCCTACACCGGCCGTATTTGCGGTCGGGGTAGACGACGGATGGGGCCCACCTACGAAGGCTGTCCAGGCCTACACGAGATGAGGCAGGATAAAGAGGGATAATCCCCCTCGATCCCAAATCATTGAGGCCAATTTCTAGCCATAGAATAATGGCGCGTCGGTTTCAAAAATACAATAGAAACTATATAAACAATGGTAATAACAAACAATTTAAATTTACTCTTCGATTTAGTTTTTCATGTCACAACAGATGGCGGAACATGGTCCGTTGATAATACATGGCATTTACTTATAATACTTAGTATTCCATATTATTGGTTGTCCTTGATCCTAGGGTTGGGGTGATCTTAACTTCTTAACCTTAACCTATAACAATAATTTGACTTATTTATTTATTTTTAGTTGCAACATTGATGTTTGATATGCATTTAACTGTTAAAAGAAGAATATGTATGTGTTACACTGTTTATGAATTTTATAAACATATAATAGAATCATATGTGTCAGATTACTATGTAGAAAATCACTGGAGTAAACTGCCGAAGAGCTGGCAGAAGTACTTGTATAATATTTCTGTGGATCATGTTGCAGAATTATTAAATTTTGAAAAACCTGTTACAAAAGGTGTTCTTCCATTATCATTGTTATGTGTACGTAATATAATCATTAACGTTGTTATACCTAGGAATATTAGTACAAATTCATATTGTGCATTTAAAAATGAGCAATTTTTAAAGTATTTTTGGAAAAATGTTAAGTTAAAGAAGAGACATGAAATAGAAAAAATTGCACCAATTTGTTATGATGCTGGTATGAAAACTAATTGCTTTTACATAGTCGATATTGGCTCTGGTTTAGGACATTTAAGTAGAATGTTGTCTTATGGGTATGGTTTTAAAGTTTGTACTTTTGAAGCAAATTCTGTACTTTCCACCTTAGCTACAGAATTAGACAGGAAGTTTGAGAAGGACCTAATGTCAAAATCGTTGAATCATAAAAGCACTTCACAAACCATTCATATAAATAAGAGAGTTGAGGAAAATCTAGACTGGAAAACTTTTTTAAAAATGGTGACGGAGGCTTTTAGTGAAAGTTGTGAAAGTTTCAGGTTTGGCATTGTAGGACTTCATCCGTGTGGAAATTTGGGATCGACACTTTTGCGACTATATAACAGTTGCCCAAATATAGTATTCATCAATATGGCAAGTTGTTGTTATATGAAATTAACATTAGAACCAGGAAGTAATGGCTTTCCCTTAAGTAATTATTGTAAAAATAACAATTTTCATCTCACTTATTTGGCATGTGAAATCGCTTGTCATGCAATTGAAAATTATGTAGAAAAACTGCAAACTCATGACGATTATTATAAATTAAAAATACATGCATACAGAGCTCGGCTTGAAGAAATATTGGTTTCTATAGACTCCAATTTAAGACATTCTGCAGTATGTAATGTTAAATATAACGAGGATCTATCTTTTGAAAAGTACTGTAATAAAATTGTTAGTAAACTTTCTGTTGTACCACCTAATAAATTAGTTTCTTCATCTGAGGAACTAATAAATGAAACTTGGAAGAATGTTGTTGTATTTTATTCAATAAGGTTATTATTTGCACCACTCATTGAGACCATTATATTATTTGATAGATTATTATATACCGAAGATTTTGATAGTGATTGCGAAATTATGCCATTATTCGATAGTATTATATCTCCAAGAAATCATGTTCTTTCAGCAAGAAAAAGAAATGTCATTTGAATAAAATTTTTATTAACAGTAAATAAATTCTATAATTTTCCTCCTGCTAATATACCTACTGTGTTTCAAAACATATGTTAGAAAATGAAGGGTGTGATTATTCTGTGGTTCTTTCTTAATTTTCGAGATATAGGGCGTCAAAGAAAAAAATTTTAGTTTTCTGACATTATTTCGAGGAACGTTTGAGATACAGAACTCAAATTTTGTATACGTATTATCAATTGGCTACTTTAAGCGCTAACTCAATTTTGGGTGAGATTCTTTTGCCCTTAATTTTTACGACTGGGGAAATTGGCATTTTGGAAGCATATTTTAAACCGTCAATGATTTCTACACAAAAATGATACTCATCATCAAAAGGTCTAACGCGAATCGTTTTCGAGATAAATGGGGTTTTAAGATGGAAACATGAGAAAAAATGTCAACATGTTAAAAAAAGTATTTCAAAACTCAGCAAATAAATAACAATAATCACAACAATTGTTAAAATGGCCTCTTCCTACGGTAATGCAGGCTTCTAACCTACGTCTGAGTGACTACGCGCCATTATTCTATGGCTAGAAATTGGCCTCAATGATTTGGGATCGAGGGGGATTATCCCTCTTTATCCTGCCTCATCTCGTGTAGGCCTGG